CCCAGCCCTATGAGCAGCCGAGGCACGACAGAAGTGGATGTAGCTGTAATAGGAAAAGAACTATTGCTAACTTTTCTGTTAAAGCCTGATGCTTCTGAAATTCATAGCCAGCTCTGACACGGTGTCATCAATCTTTGAATGCTGAAAAACCACAGTGTATCCAGAAAAACACATATTAATTATTATAAAATTTGTGTGCGCCTAACTTTTGTGCTGGTACGCCCAACTTTAAAAAGTTAGGCGTACCGGCACGCCCATGGCAAAAAGTTAGTCTAGAGCCCTGATGATGGTGACGTATTAATAAAATGCTGAGGAGTTTTAGAGGGGAAATGGCACGAGTCTGCAGCAGTGCTTAGTTTAGGTTTCATATCCAAAATATCCATGGTGCTGAAGCAAAGGTAATATTTTGGTGTTGCAATTTAGAAAGGAATGCAAATATCAAAATTTATATGTGAAAAGTAATTGATGAACGTGTTCTTGCAGACTGTGGTGGCCCGGGGCCTGCTTAACAGGATCCAGGAAAGTGCAGGATATCTTCCTGTCTTCATCAACTTCTCTGCTCAGACCTCCTCTGCCCGTACACAGGAGGTCATTGAGTCCAAACTGGAGAAAAAGAGAAAGAACATCTTAGGTAAAAGAGTTGCTTCCACTATTCACCTACACATCTACTGCCTGGCCATTCATCCAATAGTGCTTACACGTTTACTTTTTTCTTCTTGAATATTTATTATTTTTCTCTCCAGGAAACAAGAAGTTGGTGGTCTTTGTGGATGACTTGAATATGCCTAAGCTGGACAGTTCTGGATCTCAGCCTCCTATAGAACTCCTGCGCCAGTTCCAGGACTTTTCTGGGTTTTATGACAGAAACAAGTTCTTCTGGAAGGAGATCCAGGTACGCAAATAAGATGAGCTACACTGTAATGAGACATTAACTCTGGTTGCAGTTGAGGTTATCTATTTTAGACTTTTCCAAACAGTTTAAAAACAAAACCACAAGAAGGAGCATTTTCAAATTTTAGAAGGACTATGGGGCATGTTTCCTATAAGTACAAGCACGTATCTAAAACAAGTGTAGGACAGTTCTACTAGCATGGCTGTTCTAGACTAGCTATAAGTTAATTGCTCATAAGTCTTAACCTTTTATTTTTAATGTCTGTACTGTTAACTCAAAAGACACGGCGTCGTAGTCTCATTCCAAGCGCTTTATTCGTTACGCCATTTTTCTCTACACCAACAACAACTCTTCGCGGGCAACAGTACTCTCGCGATATAAGAGAAAATAACAGGTTAACATGTACATTCTAGTTCCCATAAAGATTGCCTACAAGTAAAGACAAAATCGTTCTAGACTCGGCTACTATGGATGTTTTCCCCGTGTTCAGTTTTTGAGCATGGTTAAAAACCTCATTTGTTCTGTTTGCTGTTTTTAATCTTGTGGGCTATTTGTTAGCTTTTTTTCTTGCCATTTATAAAATGGGAATCAGAATGTCTTTATTGTCATTGTCGCAGGTACAACGAAATTAAAAGTGGTCTGTGATCAGTGCATCATCCATAGAATGTTTACTACCTTAACTTGTGCTATACAAACTAGAGATGGCACGATACCACTTTTTTATGTCCGATACCGAT